GGACGGCACTGTCAAGAGGGTGGAAAATTTTAGTCTAATGGGTGATAGGCCTGGAATTGGCTGATAAACAGGGCAGTGGTGATAGCAGCAGGGTGGCTGCTGGCTTTCTTTTATCTCTATCCTCCTGTGGAATCAGAGGGTGGTCTGCTTTGGCGAGGGTCCAACTCAGGGGCCTGTCAGTCACATGGGTTTTGTTCAATTCTTAGCTCTTCCTGGGCACAAACACACCATTTTGTATCCTCATAACTTGGTGCTTTCACATGCATTGCTACCCACTGCCCCTGGTCATGGTAAGCTCCTTGAAAAGAAGGAACTTGTCTTGAATAGACTTTTGTATCCACAACACTTCAACAGGGATCAGGCACTGTGTTAAAAGTTGAAGAATGAGTAGATAAATGAAGGAAGGGATGATTAGAGACAGAGACTTGGAAAGATAGAGTTCATATACCATAATCACATTCTGTTTAAAAATTGCAGCTATGAATGATAGTGAGCTCTGTTATCGTGGTGTGACAGGAGACTGGGCTATGTGGCAGGAATATTGCAGCTAAATGAAACATCAGAAAGGGAACTGGATGTAAGTTATGATTCCAATCACGTGAGCCTAGAATTCTATGAAATGCTATCCCAGAGATACCCCAGACATGTCCTAATCTCCTAACTGAGCAGCTCTGCAACTCTAAAGCAGTTCTGCAACAAGTTAGTTCCTTTAAAAATTTCCTTCTTGCTCTGAGGACCCCATGCCAAAGATTTGCCTTGCCTGGAAGCATCTGCCTGCTGCTATCTGAGTTTAGCAAGCTTACTGAAGTACTCTGATGTCAGAGTTCTACAAGGGAGAAAGACTTACATGAGAGGTTGTCAGAGAAGATTTTGGCCATATGTGATCTGAGAGTTAAAAAAGGAGTGTTCAAATGAAACTAGATAAACACTAGGTGGGTGTGCTTTGGAGGTTCCAACGGTCATTAAAAGACCTTATTGGATTAGAGAGACCTCTTGCGTCATTTGAGATTATGCAGTTGATTTGATTGAGCAAGATTCTACTGTGGATGTTAAGCTCTGGAGCAGAACCAGTGTATTCCCTAGGAAAAGCACAGAGATCTCACTGGCTCCAGCTCTATTGTCCTTCAGTGATGTGGCTTTATGGGGTAGTCCTGGCCTCTCTCACTGTTTACACAGCTTGTAGTGAGTCCTTCTGAACCCTTATGAGGGTCACATTCAGAAATCCATGTCCTGAGCACAGGTGGGGAGCACAGGGCAAGGACTTGAGGAATGAAGTTCCTCAGCAGTGCTTACCCTCTAATTTGAATTTGGAGCACTTGAGCCCAGGCAGCCCCCAGAGACTCAGGAAAAGATAAACATCCGAGACCCCAGCTGCAGGCTTCAGGCACAGGAAAGCACTGAGATAATCTCATGCTTCACACATGAGAAATGAAGTGTTTGTTTTATTCTCCTCTTGATTCTTAGTCCAGATCTGGCCAAATCAAGGAGGGTGCTTAGCAGAATACTTGAAGTATCAATCAGGAAACAGAGTGGGGTTTGAATCACAGTTCAGCACTTCTGAATTATATGTCAATAGGGAAGGTATTTAACTCTGCTGTGCCTGGTTTACTCTAGAATAGGGATGACTATTCTACATACTTCATTGGGCTATATCAAGATGAAATAATTTGTTGTTTCTAAACTGTCTAGAATTTTTCCTGGTCTAGAAGAGGTATAGAAAAGAGATGGACAAGTAAAAGGATTAATTTAAAATGGAATATATTAATCAAATCAGGACCCATTGGCCCTTGAAAAAATAATCTGTTACTAACTGTTCCCCAGAAGCAAAAGTACATCTATGGATAGAGGCATGGGGGACACGCCCGAGTCAGTCAGGAAGCAGAAGGACAGGATCAAATGTTGCCAGAGCCTTTACTGTGGTTTTTCCCTAGAAGAGTGGAGGCAGAGGGAGATGGTGAAGGGGGGTGGAGTTATTTCAGTGTATTTGGAGGCTCAGAGGCTATCTCTGAATGTCTCATGCCTTATGAGACCTCCTAAGGAAGTGGATGGATTATGGCCTTTGGATTGGTTGGATCCTAAGAGTGACAGTTCTTCCAGGATTAGCCAACATCACATATCTAAGCATCAGATAGAGAAAATAAAATCCACAGTTATCAGCAAGGGACCTTGGCGTACATCTGTGCCACGGTATAGAGGGAGAAGCAGATTGCCTGGGATATACAATTGTTCAGTGTCTCTTGGAAAATCATGCTGTAGTCTATCTCTGGCTCCTGAAGCCAGAGCCAGTATTCAGGCCCTTCCTGGATTAACTTCTCTCTGGCCATGTGACACTGTGAGAGGCCTGGACCTGGGTGATAGACACTGAGAAAGGACTCAAAATTGGAGTGGAACATTCCTTTATTGCTGGTTACCACTGTAATTTCAGTCCACTTCCATCTTTAGAAAGCCCATACAGTCTGCTTCCACTTGCTTAGTTTGGTCATCTGTTAAAAAGAAAAAATAATAATCACCTAAGCAAATCTTTATTGAGACATAAAAGTACTGAAAAGCACATCTCATACATAATGCACAAATTGCACACATTTCATATAATTTGAGTGGTAATTGCTATTTCTATCATTCTTGTTTATTACTTCTACTCCATCAAACCTCATTTTCACCTTGGTAAATCTGGTTTCTACCCACCTCATCTGGGTTGAAGGTCAGCACTGAGATAATACAGGCTATACCTTGTGATTTCTGATCTGATTTCATCCTTCTTCACTTCTTTGAAGCACTCAGTGCTTCTGCAAATCCCTCCTCCTCTTTTCCCTGGGCTTCCATTATGCTGTGTCCCTCTCCTGCCACCACTCTGGTGGTTGCTCTCAGTCTCAGTTTTAGTTGTGTTTGTGTTTTATTATCAGGTCTTCCCCTTCTCTCAAAATGGTCTGCAGTGAAGTCACAGACCCATGCTATGTACTCTCACCTTCAGGAGATGTCTCTCCCTCCCTTGCAACACTTACTTCTAGTTTTGAGATGTCTATGATGCACATCATTTTCTTAAAAAGATTCTCACTAACTTCCTCAATAAATGTGCTTAACACAGAGCCAGCATCATAGAACCAAGATTCAACCCCTTTTCCCTTCCACAGCCCTGACATCTGGTCAGGAGGACCAAATCCTCCTTTAAAATGCCTCATTTACATCTCCATATTTCTTCATAATTTTTGTCATTGTTAACATGGCTCCAACTGCAATGAACAAATCTTGGGATGCATAAATAAAGCAATCTGCAATGTTACCAGTAAATTTACATCTCAAGGTATATTCTTCTAAGAAACACATCTTGGTGTTTATGGTAATAATTAGGAACAAAAAGTGGAAACAAGCATACATGCATTATCAATGATACAAGACTTTTTTTTTTTTTTTGGTACCAGGGATCGAACTCAGGTCCTTGCACTTGTGAGGCAGGCGACGGAACCACTAGACTAAATCCCCAGCCCAATACAAGATATTAATATAGGTTTGTAATCTGACATTCTAGCCTGGCAAAGACTTTCCTTTGTTTCTGGATACTCTCCTTGATATATTCTTTATCTTATAGCAATGTTATGGCCTGATAAACTCAAGATCTTACAGTTGAAAACTCATAAGTGAAAACATAACTAAGTCAATGCATCATAAATCAAGAAATGTCTACATGTATCTTAGAGTGTTCACCTTGGTGTTATTTGGAATAATTAGCAACAATAAGAACAAATAACCTAAATATCCACATTAAGAACCTGGCTCTTGTTGCCTTGCAACACAGATTCCATATTGTAACTTGCTTTCTCATGACCTGGTTGTCATTCCATGAGCTATCCTTCCACTGGATTAAATCTATTCTATTATTCTGTTCTTTTCTGGACCCACATTTTGAAGAAGATGTTGACATATTTTCTATATCCAAAGGAGAACAATTGGAGAACAGAAAATAGAAATCATCTCTGATGAGGGATACTCTTACAAAATAAAGTTAGGGAGTCCAGGTAAGAAAAACCTTCAGGGATGACCATTATCAAGGGTCTGAAAATCCACCTGTCTCAGGAAGGATCACAGTGGTTCACTCTGCTTCTATATCAGGTAGAAACAGGACTGATGATGCTTCAGGAAAATGAAAAAGAAATTTCTGCCTTACAAGAATGGAGCAAAAAGAGCAGGCAGGAACCTGGCATGAAGTCTCTCTCTACTCTAAATGTTTCTGCTCAGAGCCAGTAAGTTAATATTCTACAATCTCATTGTATCCTTTACTACAGAAATGCTTGTTTACTACATAACACCCAATCTCTGGCATCAAGGCCCTCCCTGACATGCAAACGTTCATTCCAGGATAATTTTCAACTGCTCTTGGACTTCATTTGGTGACATTCATAGCAAATTCACTCTTTCTCATCAAGTCTCTGTTTTGCTGCCTCTGTGTATTCCCTTAAGTCTGCTTCATATACACCTCTCCTACTTTTCCTTGTTCACTCCTCCTCTGCTACAAGTTCTAGCTGCTCCAGAAGGTCATCATTCAGAAAGCCTTATTCCCTCTTTCAACTCCTGTAACATTCTCTTGGTTCATCTCCCAGGACACAACCTCTGTCTTCAGCAGTATAGATCCAGTACACCTGTGCCCTCCTGAGAACAGGAGCCACCGCTTGTTCATCCACTCATCCAGCATGCAGATAAGCACCAGTCTCCTAGTGGATAAATGTTTCCAGAGGTCTCTAAAAGGGAAAACAAATGGTCCTTTCATTCTGAGCACCTCTCCTTTTGTATTGATATTTGGCTGGATGCATTTATACCCTCAGTTCCACTTTACTCCATCAGCCCCTTGAGTTAGAAGGAACAAATTTTCTTATGCTTATCTTATATGAGAAAAAATAGAGACTTAGAAGCTTTAGGTGACTTATTCAAGGTCACATACCTGAAAAGTGGCAAGACATACCTGGAATCTGGGCCTCACCTTTCTCCTCTGATATGTTCTCATTACTTCTCTGTGTCTAGCAGGACACATATCCTCACCACCGGTGGTGGACACGGTGCATGGCAAAGTCCTTGGAAAGTATATTAGCTTGGAAGGAGTCACACAGCCTGTAGCAGTTTTCCTGGGAGTCCCTTTTGCCAAGCCCCCTCTTGGATCCCTGAGGTTTGCTCCTCCAGGGCCACTAGAGCCATGAAACTATGTGAAGAACACCACCTCTTACCCTCCCATGTAAGTTGGTGGGGGTAGCTTTGTCATCTCTCAATGCAGATATTTATCTCAAACTGTTGTGGAAGCAGTGAAGGCAATTCTCTTGTTAGCATGCATTTTCTTCTGGAATCCTCATGAACACTGTAGACACTTGACAATATTCCATAACTGTCTCATCTTTCTAGAGTCCTTTAGTCACAACTTATTTATTGAGAACTTACCGTGTTTCAGCCATGTTCTAGGTTCACAGAATCTATCAATGAATAAAACACAGCTCCATTTCTTAAGGAAACCTATATTCTATTAGTACAGATGGGTAATAAACAAAATGTAGGTCAAATAATAAATGGTATGATATGTTAAGATATGACTTGTAGTTGGTGATTTGGGAAAAAATGTAGGTGAGTAAAAGAGGAAGATAAGAAGTATCGATCTTGTCAGTGCTCCTACTTTGAACCTTGGTATGACTGAGAGGTAGGTGAAGGAGTACATAGGAAGGTGCCTGACTTGGCAAGTCTCAATGCCCAGGTGTGTCTCCATGCCTGTTTATCAGTAGAATAGTGGTTGGTGTGCCCCAGTAAGCCTGTCCAATTACATATAAAAGCCCAAAGTCCTCAGGTTGCTTCACAATGAAGGAACCTAGATTTTGTAGATTTTCTTTCTTCATTTCTTCCTCTCTTGCTCTCTCCTTTAGTGATTAAATGCTATTCTCTTCTAATATCCTTTATTCCTCCCTTTTTAATTTTAATATACTTATTATAGTTGTGGCAGTTAATGGTGATTGGATTGGACTGAGAAATGCTAGGAAGTTATAAAGCACACTTCTCTGTGTGTGTCTGTGAGGCTGCTCCTTGAGACAACTGGCATATGGAACGGTGAACTGCTGGGTGATCTTAGCCTTGAATGGAAGCAACGCTATCCAATAGGGTGAAGGATATAACATAAATGGCTCAGAAGACTTTAAAATTGGTTTCTAGGAGGAATTTTAAAGTTTGTAGAAGCAAGCTAGAGAAAACTTAGAACTTTGTAAGTGGAGCTTAATGATCTCAGAAGACCAGAATGCTGGTAGGAATGCAGAGGTTTCTAATAGAAAGGAGGACACTAGTGAGATCTGGATTAGAACCCAACCACATTAAATTCTGACAAAGTACTTATTTATAATTTGCCTAAGTCCTAAGACTTTTCAGGAAGTTGAGTTTAAAGGTAATGGACTAGTTTATCTGGTAGAAAAAGTTTCAAGACAGCACAGTATTCAGTTGGTAGTTTGGGTATTGTTGAATATTTTTAGGAAAATTTGCAGTAATAATAAAGAACAAAGAGCAGAGCTAAAGTTTTTTTTAAACTTCCCATTTGGCCAGAACTAAAGCATGTACAAAGTTAGGACTGAAGAAGATAAGATTGTTGAAAAGATTATTGCCATTAAAAAGAATTCAGGGGGCCAGGGATTTAGTTCAGTGGTTCCAGCACCTACCTTGTAAGCACAAGGTCCGGAGTTCCATCCCTGGTACCGGAAAAAAAAAAAAAATTCAGGATGGCTGAATAGAGGAGGAACCACATTGGAGCTACTCAGAGAAAATAAATTAAAAACACAGGTAATTGGAAGAAAGAGAGGGACATACATCCTAATACCAAATAAATCTGAAATAAGAGACTTGTAGTCAAACAAAATATAGGTACAGGACTTTATAAAATGGTGAACCAGCCCACAAGGCTGCTAGTGGCACTGACCCTGGCCCGGCCTGCAGAACAGGAACAGCAATTCCATGAAGTTCCAAAAAACATTCGATGAACTGCAAAAGCGTGGCAAACTCAAACCACACAGACTAGATCTGGAATATAAGGCCCCTTGCCTCTTCTGCCTTCCTGAAAATAGAGGATACTGAAGCCTGGCAATAAATTTTGCCAGCACACACGGGAGTGAGTGGCCACAAAGCTGCTCCTTCCCCAACACACTGCCAGTTGTTTCTTCCTTTTTGTCATGCACCATAGCAGCTAACTGAAACCTCTAGCAACAAAAAGGTTAGGGACTTCAGTGGTGGCTATAAGGGTAGTGAGTGGAGCAGCATGACCCCTCCTGCCCAGAAACCAGCAGGCAGGAGAGAGGGATGTGGATCTCAGACACAGGATTTAAGGAGATTAGGGCTGGCAAGACATCAAGTGGAAAGTGAAGCCACCACTTCCCCTACCCTGTGACCAGCAGTGTAAAAGGAGCCAGAAGAGTGGAACAGAGGAGTCTGTGCAAGGTCCAGGTGGGGCCAACTGTACATGGGACTAAGAAAATTAAAAGTTAGTAAATAAAATAAAAAGAAGCCAAGTATTTTGCACTGGGAAAGAAGAAAGATGCCTCAGAACATCTCAGGAATCAATATGACCCTATCCATCAGAGGCTCACAAATGCCGAAGTATGAAGAAGAAAGAGCTTGACCCTCCTGCTCCACAGGGCCACCCTCAGAATTGATTCTCAGAATTCATTTCACTGTACTCTGCCATCCAGGCATTCACAGACTATTGCAGCCATGGTTCAGGGAATCCTAGCTACTGTTGAAACTAGTTGTGGACCATGTGAAGCTAGTTTTGCAGGCATATGTAATGCAAGTTAGGAGATCATGTAGATTTCTACCAAGATTTCAAAGGAGGGCCTGAGAGACAGGCCATTGTATGGCAGCTTTGGATTCTATGAGGCTAGCCCCTGAGAAGGTGATGCCTGAAGTTGTGTGAGTGATGCTGGAGCTGCAGTGGAGATCTTAGGAAATTAGAGATACCATGAACATGAGACATCTATTAAGAAAGCTGTAAGTACCAAGCAGAGCTAGTCCAAGCCATAAGCTTTATGGGTTGCAAACCACTATGCAAACTCTTTGGAGCTAATGCTAGGTGCTCCAAATGCCAGTTATAGAAATACACAATTTAATGTTTGACCTTCTGAGTTCTGGTCTTGTTTTAGTCCAATTCCTCCTTGCTGTTCTCCTACTCTTGCTATTTAGAATACAAATATTTATCCTGTACCTGCCCCACAATTGTATGTTGGAAATATGTAACTTGTTCTTTGAATTTTTAATGGGGTACATAGCTAAAAGTTGTTTGGAATCTCAAAGGATACTTTAGACTTAGACTTTGAAGCAATGGTGGAACTATTGAAACTTTAGGGAAGAAATTATTGTGATTTCAGTTGCATACAGGATAGTTATATCGTGTTAGACAAATTTTAATCTTGTTGTTGCCCTTATTTGAAGATTAAGTATGTTTTAATGAAATGTATTTGGATATCAAGTTGACAAGTGATAAGATTGTGGTGGATAATCCCACTTGGTTAGATTGGAAAATGCATAGGAATTTAGTAAAGCACACTTCTGGGTCACTTGAGATCTGAGACTGTTGCTTACAAATATACTTGGAATATAAACATTGCATTCTATGGATCTTCCTGACAGTGGGATGTTCGGCAGGCTCTCCAATCCCTCTGTACCTGAATTTTTCATGTATAAAGTGGGAGCGATAATAGAACCTATGCACAGGGCAGATTTGAGGCTTCAGTGAATTATTATAGAAAGGGAATGTAAATCAGTGCCTGGGATAGTAGTACAACACACAACATGTTACCAATTTTTTTCTTAAATTCTTTTATTGGTGCATTTTAGGTATACATTTACATTTATCTTTGGGGAATTTATACCTTTACATAATTTATCTTTGTTCTTATTTTTCCCCATTCCCCTGCCCTCCCTTCAACTCCTTTACCCCAATTTTAATCCATGGCGAAGCTTTGAGACCTCTTACTAGAGCAGCCAACAGTGATTGCCTGGGACAGGTTGATGATACAATATTAGCATGACAGGGTTCCCATATCCTTAGAGAAAGTACAACCCTCACTTAGGCCTTGCAGATTTAGGCTAAGAGCAAGAAAGCAATCCACCCATGGTCATCCCAAACATCAATGGCTGAGACAGAAATACACTACAATTGTGTTGATGCTGTACCACAAAAAAGCCACTCCCAACATACTATAGGCTAAATGTCTGCAATTTGAGGGAGTTCTCCTGGTGAATGAATGTCTGCTATGGACTAGAACATAGTTACCTGATGGAGGAACATGATCACCCTCCAGATCATAGTACAAAGCCCCCCAAAGAATGGAGTCTTGCCCTAGGAGTATAGGAGATGTCACAAGGGGAGGTCACTGTATGGGTAGCCTCATTTCCTCAGCTCAGTGTAACCCAAAGACTTCTGGAAGGGGAGAGGTGGGAAGCCCTTGCAGAATACAAGGCAAGGTCCAACCACATGCACCCCTTTCAGTTTCAACCTGATTGAACCATAGGTGTTCTTCCTTCCTCCCCAGGTGCTCCCAAGACCCAGTGGAAGGGCAGCAAATGTCAGAGCTCTTCAGCAACCAAAAGAACATTCCTCTCACATATTCTGAAAATTGCTTGTACCTAAATATTTACACTCCTGCTGACTTGACAAAGAAAAGCAAGCTGCTGGTAAGCTTGGGGACCATTGATCCAGACTTTTGAGCTCCCAGAATCCTGGCGTTGTTGCAGAAGACAAAGGCAGCTTGGGTCAGGGAAACTGTTAGTGAAAACATGTTCAGAGCCCCAGAGCTTCCTTTTACCACAGGAAATACATGTTTTTCTTTCCTCGGTTTCTCTTAGTGACTCCAGATCTCTCAAGGGGAGATTGCTGTACATCTGGAATGAACTTTTTAAATTTTCTAAGTTATACTGATACAATGGCAAGCATGATTACTGATACTTGTTAGATTAGGAATCTACAAAGAATCTGATCCCCAAACCACTTAAGGCATAATTTCCTATAATTACACCTGGAAAGAATGTTATGGAAAATTGAAAAACCTATCCCCACTTTATATGTAAGGACACAGAGGCAAAGAATGAGGAGAGGACCACACAGTATGGTTGGCGGTACAAGATCTTTACTCTTCTGAGCTTCATGGGAGTGTTCTTCGATATGGAATAGGAAATGGAACATTTGTGTCACTTTTCTACACATATCATATGTGACAATTTTCACTGTCCCATGACTGAGGTGTTGGGGTGGAGACTGGGACAAACACAAAAGCAATTTCATTGCCTTTGGCCAATCTTGTGAGATTTTACTGTAGCTCATTTTCTTCCATAATTATCTTTGACACAGGCTGAAACTCAGTGAGTCAAAATTTCTTAATTAACTGAAGGACCAGAGGTGAGACAGGTTACAAGTTATAGGCCAGAGGGTGGGGTGGGGTCTACTGGAGCAGGAGAGATAGCTAGGGTGGAGATGGGAGGGATGTCAACACCCAGGCACTTTCCAGGAACACTCTGCTTGGAGCTCAGGTGTAGGAGAGGATGTTGTAAATTTGCGAGTAGACACTGGCTCCACACATGCTTTATATGGTGCAAGGAGATAAGGATTAAAAAACTCATTCATTCATTCATTCATGCATCCATTCATACTTCTATTATGGACTTTCATACACAAAATTAAAGTGGAGTTAGGGAAATGTAGAACACAAAACTATTACCATGCAATCCCTACCTTCAAGGATCTTCTCATATGTCCTGCACAGACACTAACTTTTTCATGTATCATTACTAAGCATTTCTGGGCTCAGTCATCACTTAGAGAAGACCTGAATTCAGTCCCTTCCCTGACAGCTAGGTATTGGGAGTAGCGAAGAAGCAGGGTCACTGGAAGCTGGAGGAAGGAGACTCTTCTCCCGTAGACATAGGCTCTAGAACTACACAGAACTATACTTAAATCCTGGGTGGATTTTTTACTCTCAAGAGACTGGGAAATTTCTTAACTTCTCTTAGCCCCTTTTTCTTCAAATGGGGATAATCACATATGAGCTTTCAGTGCTGACTGTCAAGCTTTATCTCAGTCCTTCCTAGGTGTCTGAAACCAATACTGATGACAAACTAGTTAGAGATGCAGAAAGATCTTCTCCCTTAAGAGCCACCTGGCTATGCTATTGCCATGAGCTGCAGTCAGTGGGCAGTTCAGCATGTGGACTCTGGGCCAGACTGGCTCAATTCCTGCTGCTACCATTTGTTATAGCAGGAAAGTGAAGTTCCTCAGTTCACCTACATCTCATGTGGGAAAACAGTAGTATTTCCTTCATGAATAGGTTATGTAAAAATGTTTTGAATAGTCCTCCATGCATAGTTCACAGCCTGAGTTCTTTTTTCATCAGCAACATTGCTATAATAATATTCATTCTTGTTTCTTCTTTGTAATGTGAGCTCTTTAAATTTGAGAAGGACAAATTCTGATTAGCGTTCCTGCTTATCTTCAATTCTTATCCCAGTCTCTGGCACAATGTAGAATCTCAGTTAATAATAAGTGAAAATATTGAAGACTTCTTGGCGGAAGGTAGATGTGAACTTAAGATGGTAGGTAGGATTTGGCCTGCAGAGATAGCTGGAGGAAGCACATAAGAAAAAACTAAGAAGTAAAAAGAGAAATTGCATTCAACCCAGCTATTCCCCTTCTAGTATCTTTCCCAAAGAGTTAAAGTCATCATATCACAGTGATACATATATATCCATGTTTATAGCAGCACACAATTCATAATAGCTAAATCTTGGAAATGGCCTATGGCCTATATGCCAATTAACAGAGGAATGGATAAAGACATGTAGTATTTATACACAATGGAGTACTATTTTGCCATAAAGAAAATAAACTTGAGGCATTTGTAGGTAAATGGATGTACCTTGAGACTATAATATTAAGTGAAATAAATCAAACACACAAGATTAAATATTGTATATTTTCTCTTATATGAATATAAATGAAAAGTAAAAGATAGTGAATAGGAAGTAGGGAGATTTTTTTCAAATGGAAAAGGAAACAAGAGATGGAGGGGAGGGCTGGGGATTTAGCTCAGAAAGTGCAGGGTCCCCAGTTTGATCCCCAGTACCCCACTAAAAAAAAGAGAGATGGAGGGAAAGGGAGGGAGGACAGCAAAAAGGGCTAAAATAAAAGAATTAAAAGGAAAAAATGGAAACAGCTTCTACAAATGGGAAGGGAACCGAGAGTTGGAAGGAGCGAGGAGGTGTGGGAAGGGGTAGGGGATGAAAAAAGAATTAAGATGTAATATATATCTGTACCAACTCACCATAATAAATGTGATTATTATGTACTGTACACATGTACTAATACAAATTTTTTTTTTAATTTTTAAAGGGGACATTGTTGGGGCTTCCTGAAATAAACATTCCCACACTGAGATGTTTAATTCACTATTATTAAAGAGTTAACTGAAGTGAAACTGAAATACAAGGGCTACACCATGCTTTTGTTCAGCTGGTTAAATGGTTGAGGCATGAAGACGATGGGGTGTTGAGAAGAATAAAACATCCTTGGCCTTTGCTGCTCTCATGATAAGTCTCAGTTTGTTTGTTTGTTTTTTTGTTTGTCTTTTGGTACTGGGGATCGAACTCGGGACCTTGTGCTTGTGAGCCAGGCAGTAGCACCACTGAGCTAAATCCCCGATCAGTTTGATGAGTTTTGTGAGGTCAAGGCACATGGGTCTGGGGAGAAAGGCAGGAGTAACCAAGTAATGAGTGCAATGAGTGGTATGGTGGCCTGCGACCCACCTGGGAGAGATGGAGAAGAACAAGACTGTGTTTTGCAAACTTGCTGGACACTGGTGAATTTTGGACTATAGCCTCTGTGTGTCACAGCCATGATATAGGTGACCAAATCAGACAACCTCTGAGGACCTTCTAAACTCCGCTTCCTGTAACAAGTGTGGCTGTATCATCTTTGTCCAGGTGATGGTGTGGATCCACGGAGGAGGGCTGGTGCTGGGTGGGGCATCAATTTATGATGGACTGGCCCTCTCTGCCCTTGAGAATGTGGTGGTGGTGACCATTCAATATGGCCTGGGTATCTGGGGATTCTTCAGGTATGATACTGCCCTCTCCTCTCCTCACACTAGCCCCTTAATTGCTATTTTCTATTAATACAACAAAGTGCCCAAGACAGGGAAATTATAAGAAAACAAATGTATTTAACTCCGGATTTTGGAGGTTGAAAGTCCTAGACTGAGTGTCTTCATTGAATTGGTTGTTGGTGAGGGAACTTGGCTGTGTTACAACATGGTGGAAAAGCAGAAAGGGAATCTGCAGCATGCAGAAGAGAACATTGGCAACTCAGGGTGACAGACAGAGGGAACCGGGATTATTCACACCCGTTTAAAAACAACTTACCCCCAGGAAGGCTAACTGCTGTCCCATGAACAATCCTTTCATCCCTGCAGAGGAGAGAGCTTCCACTAGCCTCCCCTTTTCCTAGGTTCCTAGGTTCTACTACCTTTTCCTGTGCCGTATTAGGGGCCAGTGTTCCAGCACATGAACCCTTCTGGGACAAATCAAGCCTAAAGTAGCCTCTAAAGCAAAGATTCTAAAACCTGGCTCTAGTCACGTTAGCCCCATGCTAAGGTTTTGCATTATATATCCAAGGCTCTTCATTATTGTACCCCACTTAGCTTCTCATTTTTAGTCACGTTTGTCCACTTGCTCTTGAGCTGTTTCATGTGCTGCTCTCTCTGCCAAAAATATCTAGTCTACCTACCAAACTTACTCACCCCAAAAAGCACAGCCCCTGCCAGAGCCCACAATATTGATTATGCCGAAAACATCCTGTAAGCAGTGCAGGCTACAAGGAGTTAAATCCCTCAATTGACTTACTTTAGAAAGTGAGTCTGACTGAAGCTACGTGACTCATAGAAGTATCTCATGAGCACTGCAGTATCATGCAGGGCAATATGACCTCCCCACTGATGGCCACAGCCAAGACCAGAGTAATGGCCTATTAAACTGTGGGGCTAATCCTAGATAACATCCGTAGCTGAGGTCAGAGCTTCACCTTGTTCAGAATCCAACTACTTCTCACCTAGGCCTCTTGTACCATATCCAATTTCTATGTCTCTGGGCTGGATTATTGCTATAATGACATATTTTTAAAATTAATTTTATTCATACATTTTAAGTATACAATATAATGACATTCATCATTGGAAATTTGCACCTTTGCATAATCTCTCTTGGTTCTTATTTTTCCCCCTTCCCCTGCCCTCCCTTCAACTCCTCCATCCCTCCCTATTTACAAAGACTATGTTTCCATTTTTTCATTTTCTCATATTAATTCCATTCCCTTCTTTCTTTTCCCCATCCCTCCAACTTCCCCTTCCCCTTTGCCCATTTTCTTCTTGTTTCACACCATGTATTACACCCTTTAGTCCTCATTTATACTTTCATTTTCTCACACCAGAGAAACTATTAGGTATTTAAACATGTGTGTCCTATTTATTTCACTTAAGAGTATTGTCTCAATGTGCACTCATTTAGCTATAAATGTCTCTAATTTCTCATTTTTATGTCTGAGTAGTACTCCATTTATATAAAAACCCACATTTTCTTGTTCAGTCTCCAGTTGATGGACAATTGGGCTGCTTCCAAGGTTTAGCTATTACAAATTGTGCTGCTATGAACATGGGTGCACATATATCACTGTGGTATGATACTTTTAATTCTTTGGGGAAGATATCCAGCAGGGGAATAGCTGGGTCAAATGATACTTCCAGTCTGAGTTCTTTGAGGTATCTCCATACTGATTTCCACAGTGATTGCACCAGTCTACACTCCCACCAGGAGTGGAGCAGTGTTCCTCTTTCCCCACAGCCCTGCCAGCATTTGTTATTGGTTGATTTCATGATAGCAGCCATTCTTTCTGGGGTGAGGTGAAATCTCAGTGTTATTTTCATTTGCATCTCTCGAATGACCAGTGATATTGAACATTTTTTCATGTTTATTTGCTATTTCTACTTCTTTGTCTGAGAAATGTCTGTTCATTTCAGATGCCCATTTTTGGATTGAGTCTTTCAATTTGGGAGGTCTGATTTTTTAAGTTCTGTATAGATTCTAGAACATAGACCTTTGTCTAAGGAACAGCAGGTGAAAATTTTTCCCGTATTGTGGGTTGTCTCTTCACTCTGTTGGTGGTTTCTCTTGCTGTGCAGAAGCTTTTTAATAAGAAGAGATCCCACTTGTTGTATATAACCACATATTTTTATAAACCTCCTACTTTTCTGAGGCCAGGGCACCATGTACGACACACTGAATGAAGTTATCTCTGCAGAAGGTTCTCATGTTACCTACAATGGCATAGAAGTACCTTACCAAGGGCCAAAGCACCAATCTAGCTACACTCACACTTTTGTCTCTGTGGTCCTCAGTTCTTTCTGTATACTGCTTCTTCTAAATGAAATTTTCTTCCTTTCATGTTTACTAAACCCATGTCTCTCATTTTGCTTAACAAAGGTCACTACTCAAAGAGGCCTTCCTGGTAATGAAATCTGAACTATCATCCCATGGCCCCGTGCCTCTTTATCATATTTTCTTTTTCAACAAATTGACATTATATTCTGTTTTCATCTATTTTTTTTTGTGGTTTGCAGTGTGAGCTGAGAGTATTAAAAGATTTTGCCTGTTCCACCCCCCACCCCAACCACCATGTACTCTAGCTTTTCAGCCATGTAGGATGCATAGTAGCTGTTCAGTGAACAGGTGCAAGAATAATGAATATGGATCCCTCCATAGAACTCTGGAGTACGAATGAGAGGCAGGTGAAGATCCCGGTGTTAAGGTTGCAGTTGCCCAGGCTTGATCTAGAAGACTCAGTGAGACCACCCCAGTCTACCTGTGGTCCTGAGAGTCCTGCCTTCACAACAGTTCGGTTTCCTGCCCTCTTCTCTTGCAGCACGGGGGATGAACACAGCCGAGGGAACTGGGGTCACTTGGACCAGGTGGCTGCACTGCGCTGGGTCCAGGAAAACATTGCCAACTTTGTAGGGAATCCAGGCCCTGTGACCATTTTTGGAGAGTCAGCAGGAGGTATTAGTGTCTCTGTTCTTGTAAGTATTCCTGTTAACAGGCCCTACCTCTGGGGTTGATGTGGCTGCTGTCAGAGCCTCAGAGGAAACAGCCAATCCAGCCCTGAGCTACTTTGCTGGGCTTAGGGCTGATTTTACTCACTGTGCAAGACCAGATGGTGGAGAGCCATAACTGAAAACCTCCTTGACTGCCAGGAAGCTCAGAGTTCTGCTTAAGATCCTAGAGTCATAAGAATATCCAGCTGCAGGCTACACTTTCCCCCTGTCATGTGGTTGAGTTCTTCTCCTTTCTAATCATTATATTTGGACTTGCCTTACTTCTTTGGGTAGTTGGGGTAGCTTTAAGTTATAATAAAAGGGACACATGGTTATAAGGTGGATAAACTGTCCTTGTCCTTTTTCTCCAAGCTAGAACTTCATGTTGAGGGAAATTAAAGGCCAAGAGCAGGGAGGGGGTTGCCCTGAGGTAGTGCAGTGGCTTTTCCATTCTCAACAGGGAGGATAGCAGCCTCAGGGACTTAGAAGTTGGGCAGGGGTACATGCATGAATAGAAGGAGCGATGGAAGATGGAATAGTCAGGGATGAGACAGGGATGAGAACCACAGACACAACCTATGGGCACAAGAAGTCTTGAATATATAGGGAACTGGAATTACATGGATACTGAGGGAAGCTATATAAGGTGCTGGAATCTGAAGAAACCCTCCAAGCAGCTCAGTGTTGAGCAGAGATCCAATTGTACCATTGTATTCTTCAAACAAGTATTGCCTTCATACTTAGAGGGATATATATATATATATATATTACATAATATATATATACATGACATGATATATATATATGCACACACACATATATATATATTACAAATAAGACCAAAGAAGCAAAAAGTTTTCCACAGTCCCACTGCACACCAATAGTTATTGAGGACATTATCACACATATTTTTTCTAGTCTTTTCCCACAATATTACCTCTGTATCTCACTATCCAGTTGTATCTATCCATCTATCATCCATCCATACATACATCCACAGTCTCACTCTTCTCTCTGTCATCTTTGTATATTGTTTTGTTTTCACAAAATTTGACTTATTATTGTAATACAACATAAATAGCTCCCTAAATAAGGAAGACTCTTATGTAACACTATATATGATAACTGCTTTCTATTCTATGGTAAGAATGAAAAGTTGTTCATTTACTCAATATCATGCATTAGAGGATTTGCTTATTTCCAATTTTTACTACTATAAACAGTATCAGCATTCTTAGAAATTTTTATGAGACTCTGTGATCATTTTTCATTTTTTTAATATATATATTTATTGGTACATTTTAGGTATAAAATACATTGACATTTATCATTGGGTGTTTGTATCAAAACATGAGGCATCTCAGTTTTTATTTTTTTTCCCATTACCTGTGCACCCTTCACCCCCTCCACCCTTCCCTATCTACACAGAGTTTGAATCCATTGTTTTTTCTCATAAGTTTTTTCTTTCCCTTCTTCCCTTTCCCCTTTCCCTTCCACCATCCCCAAACCCTTGGAACTTTTCTTATTTCAAATTATCAATTATTCATTTTAATCATTTTCATCCTTATTTACACTTTCAATTTCTCACATTAGAAAAACTATTCGGTATTTAC